GGGAAAGAGAAAGAAAAGGAGGGAAAGAAAGAGGGCAAAGAGATGGGGGGAGGTTCTCCGACCCCCCACGGATCCCTCACTTACCCCGGGAGGCGGCGTGGGGGGCCTCTTCTGCCCTCCCAGGGCTGCAGCGCTCCGGCGCTGGCCTGGGGAGGCAGCGGGGGGCCTCTTCTGCCCTCCCACGGGCCGTAGCACTCCGGCACTGGCACTGGGAGGCGGTGGGGGGGCCTCTTCTGCCCTCCCACAGGCCGCAGCGCTCTGGCGCTGGCTCGGGGAGGCGGTGGGGGGGGCCCTCTTCTGCCCTCCCATTGGCCGCAGCACTCCGGCGCTGGCCCTGGAAGGCGGCGGGGGGGCCTCTGCGCTCCGGCGCTGGCCCAGGGAGGCAGTGGGGGGCCCTCTTCTGGCCTCCCACAAGCCGCAGCGCTCCAGCACTGGCCCGGGGAAGTGGCAGGGGGCCGCAGCGTGGGGAGCTGGGGGCGGGGCTTGTTGCCACCGCCATTTGTTCCGGCGCCTGGGCTCCCGGAGCGGTGCTCCGGTGCACTCCGGCCCCAAAAGACCCCTGGGCTCCAGGTTCCTAACATTTATATGCCCCCACCCTTAATCAAGCATCCTTACCAGCAGACTTCCCCTATAGAACACAGAGTTCCTCCTTCTCATCCATCCTAAGTACATCATGGCATCACATTTTTCCAGGCTAGGCCCCAGAAAGCAGAGTGTCATCTACATCTATTCATCTACTTAGTGTTAACTTTCCACCTTTTTTCTGTCACGGAATCTAAAACAGTGTACATAGGTTCCTAAGAAATCATCCATTCAGGTACAGATTAGTCCCATATATGCTTAGCTTCAGCAAGGATAATGTATTATGCACCTTCTATCCATACCTTGGGACTATAAGACTATAGTGGTGGTCAGGGGAATTACAATATATTTTTTTTACGTGTCAGGCAGCAGACCTGATTTTTGCATGGCACCTGTGTCCCACCAGTCATTTCTGGTCCCTCCTTTTTACGTGTATACTCAAATGACACCCTGAACTTTGATTCTGGTGTTCAGAGGACATGATGTGAAATGACATTAAAGGGTACATGGATTCCTTAATTGCTCCTTAATTTGTGATATATCAGAAAAACAAAGAGTGATTAATGTGTTTCATATTCCTTTTCTGATTCACAGCAAAACAGACAGCCTAACAGGGGAAATGTGAAGAAAGGGAAAGCCAAGGGAAACGAAGCTTGGGGTGGGACAAGATTGGGGCGTAAGCAAAGAGAGGGGATGGAGAAGGAAGAGGGTGAAGGGAAGGAGAGATGAAGTTGTGAGCAGGGAAGGAGAGTTGGTGCACGCACTTGCCTTCTCACTCAGCCACCGTTTACATTCATGGCCATATGACCACTACGGTATCTCATTGGCCTTTAAACATAAATTCTGCTGTTGTTAGACCTGTCCTTCCTGTGAAGCACTTGATCCATATAGAAGCCAGCATTGGTTCATACACAGGTTTTTATTTTTCAAGATGCAGGCTTTTTAAATTTGCTTATTTATATCTTTTGTATTGTAGATATCCTGGTGGTTTCACGCAAGTTACAGCAACTCAGCTTCATAGAAAGGATCCAACAGCAGTAAGTGCTAATCCTTCCCTTCACCCTGTACTTCTTGAATAGACTTGCCAGACTTTCACCTGAATTTTCCTGTAAGCGTATCCAGTTCAAGGTACTGAAAGAAGAGCGCCTGAACTCATTATTCTCATTTGTCACCATCGCAAGGGCAGCCATGTAACTCTGGAGCCACATCTGATTCTTTCCTATCCTTTGTCTCCCACATCCAGGCCACTGAGAGCCTTTCCATGCGATGACTTTTCACACTTCTCAGTTTCTCTGCATGCCAACCTCTTCCCTAATCTACTGCCTTTCAGTCCTGCTGTTTTCTGCACAAACTCATCTACTGTCACCCCTCCATCTCCTCCCACTCAAGTCTCAGCGCTGTTTGCCATGCTATGCTTGAAGAATTTTTTCATCTTCGTCAAGCTGCTTTCTCTTCCTTCAAGGCGACCTCTTCTGTGAAACAATTTCTGAATGGTCCAGGCTGTGCTTTATCTGCCACCTGACACTTCCTCTACTCAGAAGTTCAAGTTTTAGCCATTGTTGTTCAAGTTTTACCCATTTTTGGAGAGCCAGTTTTGTGTTGTGGTTAGGAGCGTGGGCTCTAATCTGGGAGAACCGAGTTTGATTTCCCCACTCCTCCACATGCAGCTGCTGGTGTGATCTTGGGTGATCTGCAAGTTCCTTCAGAGTGGGTCTCTCACGAGCAGTTCTTGAAAGAGCTCTCTCAGCCCCAGCTACCTCACAGGGTGTCTGTGGTGGGGAGGGGGAGGGAAAAGAGATTGTAAGCCGCTCTGAGACTCCTTTGGGTAGTGAAGGGCGGGGTATACATCCAATCTCTTCTCTCACCACTGACCCTCCCCCTGCCCTTCTTTTGCACACACAGAGAACTTTAGGGATGGAGCAAGTTAGTTTCACATGGGCGGAGAGGAAGGTAGTGGGAAACCACTTCTGCTCATCTTTTGCCTTGAAAACCCCATGGTCCTGGGTTCGTCACAAGTCAGTTGCGAGTTGATGGAAGACCGTTATTATTTAGAGAAGCAACAAGAGAGACTTGAGCTCCTTTTTTGTTTTCTCTGCAGCCTGGAACAGGTTAGAGACAAATAAGAGGAAACATGATAGAAATTTATAAAATTATGCAAGGGGCGGAGAGAGTTGACAAAGAGAAATTTTTCTCCCTCTCCCAAAATACCAGCACTCATGGGCATCCAATGAAACTGGTGGGCAGTAGGTTCAGGACAGACAAAAGGAGAGACTACTTTACATAGAGAGTAATTTAAATGTGAAATTTGCTTCCAGATGGCAGCAGGAAAAAACAGTTTTAAAGAGTCCTATTTATGTAAGATCTGGCCCTTATAACAAATGAGTTCGACACCCCTGGATTAGACATTTCAGCTTCATCTCTCACACACACCGTAAATTTCTAGCTTCTATAGTTGTAAAGTTATTTACAATACAGTTCTAAACAATTACACCCTCCTAAAACCAGTGCCTTCAATGCACGTAGAAGGGTTTAACTCTGTTTAGGATTTGTTTGGTGTAGTGGTTAAGTGAGCAGACACAGTGCAAACCACTGTTTGGTGTAGTGGTTAAGTGTGCAGACTCTAATCTGGGAGAACTGGGTTTGATTCCCCACTCCTCCACTTGCACCTGCTGGATGACCTTGGGCAAGCCGTAGTTCTGGCACAGCTGTTCTTGAAAAAGAGCAGTTTCTGTCAGAGCTCTCTCAGCCCCACCTACTTCACAGGGTGTCTGTTGTCGGGAGGGGAAGGGAAAGGAGTTTGTAAGCCGCTCTGAGACTCCCTTGGGTAGTGAAGGGCGGGGTATAAATCCAATCTCTCCTCCTCCTCCCAGTTGGTTTGTACACCCCCTTTCTGTCTCCACGATATGTCTAAGATAAGAGTTAAAATATGTAGCAATGCCTGTTAAATTTAAAAATACACAGACAACCCACAGCTATGACTTCAGGACAGATGTGACTTCACAGACGACCAGGTAATAATGGGAGAGGCTGAAGTTGCAGTCAGTAGCAGCCAGCAAGGTTTAAAGAAGCCAGAACGGCTTGGAGAGGCTCAGGTTTTTAATAAGGAAGAGTTACTTCCTTATTAAAGGAAGTGGCATTGCCTGTTGAAATTAAAAGCTGAAAACTGACTGAAGCTGGGAGTGGGGTTTCGGCTCCCTGTGGAATGCCTTCTTGCAACTATCAGACTTAGAACAAAATTAATCAAATAAGGTTCCATATTATTCATACAGATGGCATGATCCTGAGTGAAGAATTTTAATTTCTTTCAGCAGTACAGCCTTGCCTATTGTCTTCCTTGGACTTCAGCTTGAATAGTTTCCTTTAGTGTTTTTCTCTAGAAACCGGTGCAAGTCAGGATGTTTTGGGGTCCTTTCATCTTCCTGTCTGTGCTAACTCTGGTCCACCACCCTTTGATCGTCAGTGACCATACAGACTTGACCACGCTGAACCGGCTCCAGGACCATGAGGAGCGAATGAAACAGGAAATGGAGCTCTTGCGGACAGAGTTTGACCAGAAAGGCTGGACCTTGGAGCCGCTGAAGACTCCAAAAGACTGGATTACAACTGATCAACCTATGGATGATGAAACCTGGGATGTGTGGCACTATGTGAGCCTTCTGTTCTTGATGTGCTACATATACTCCTTGGAAGAGGAACCCAGTGATGATTCTAACACTGATACCTTCAGTAGTACCAACAGAGAGGAGGAGGAGGATACTGACATGGAAAGTGAAACATGTGGCAACAAGCAAAAAGTACTAGAGGCTTTCTGTGACTGCCTCACAGATGTGGACACCAGTGACCTAACCCATATGTGCGATTTTGTGGAGTCCTTTGTGAATGACTTGCTGGAGGCCTGCCGGAATTACCTTCCCTATCAGAACACCCTTCCTCTGTTGGTGAACTGTATTGGGGTGGACAGTGCCTTTGAAGGATGGCACATACAAGAAGAAGAAGAAGAAAAGACCAAGGCATTCAGTGTACTGGTGCCGGTAGTGCCACCCAAGGGACACTATTTCCATTTGGAAACAAGTGCTTCTGAAGGCACCTCAAGCAAACATGGACACATCTTGGTGGAGATGGAGTGTGTGTGCAAGAGAGAAAGAGGAGATGTGGTATGCTTCCTTCATCATCCTGAGCAAACGCTGAGTGAAGACAAGCAAGGTGCCTTCCTCATGGATGTTTTGTGTACCAGCTCCCACTTAGATGTGGATAAAACCATCCACTGGTTCCAGAGTCTTGTGAGGAAGGCCTGGAAAAATATAAGTTATAAGTACAATCTTGATCTCCTGCCCAAGCCTTCCAACACTGCATGCAAGCTGAACCTGGCATTTAGATCTGGAAAGACAATCTCTGTTGACATCATACTTGGAGTCCAGCAAGGAGACAGCTTAGTTTTCCTGGCCACCCAGGGTGCTGAGATGGACCGTTCAGCTGGTACAGTTTGGCAGAGGACCTTTGCAATCCAGGAGCTGCTCTTTTTCAAAAGGGTAAACCAGCAAGTCCCAGAGGAGAGCTGCCACCTGAAATGTTTACAGATCATCCTCTACCTCAAAGAGTCCAACCCATCAGATGGGAAGAACCCTGTGCTCACTGACTACCATTACAAGACTTGTCTGATGCATCTCCTGCTCTTTCGGCCCCTCTCAGACTGGGCCCGTGAAGATATTGTGCAAAGGCTGCAGGACATCCTCTTATTCATGCATACTGCCCTGCAGGAGAAAGGTCTTAAGCACTTCCTGATTGGAAATGTCTCCCTGCCCATTCAGATACCTATGCCCAAGGCTCTTCGCACTGCTGTACCTGTCAATCTTTTTAAGCACTTGGCACAAGACCCCAACCTTCATGCTGAGGCAATGAGGGAGTTTGCGGAGGTTGTACGGCAAGTGTGGACTCTGGTGACAGACTGTGAAGAGTAGGAAAGGACACTTACATTAGAAACGCTATGTTGGGGGGGGACTTGCTCTAAAAGGACTGGTAAAGAAAGCAAAGCAGATAGGAAGCAACGGCATCACAGATCCCAGAATGGTGTCTATCTTCACAGGTTTCCTATGCTTCACCTTGATTTCGGGAAACGTGGCAATGCAAGTCAGCTCCCATTCCTAGTGCCAGCTAGTCTTCTGTATTTTTATGCACTCAAGGAATTTGCTCTGTTAGAGTTGAAATAGAAGTTCCAACAATAACTGTTGTGCTGTGTTTTTCCCCCCTGCAACTAGCATTGAATGAAATCAGCCTCATACCCTTTCCCTAGGTCTAACTCAAGACAACCCTTCAACTAGTATAGGCGGACAACTAATAACTATGCCTGTTTTGGAAACTTCCCACTGCTGTCGCTTCAATGAATTAGGAAGGAAGGGGGGGCACTAGGTACATTGTATTTCTCAAAGCTGGAACTGTGTGGCTGGGTGACTATGTAACCCTGACATATTCACACCTATGTCAAACACACAAGACTTTGTGTAACACATATTTGCTTATCAGTGAGGCCAGCATAAAGCAGTGGTCCACACAAGAGTGACCCTTTCTGATGCCAGCTTGCTCATCACCCATTATCTCTTCCTTTTCCAGTGCATCAGTTTTTTCTACAAAAGAGATGCGTATAAGCAATATAAAAGCACAACTTTAAAAACAATACACCTAAAATTAGAGCAATTTCTGGGTTGAGCCAGAAAGGGTAACAAACATAATTTAAAGAAAACCCTGCAAGAATAGATCTGCTACAGGAAAGGCAGAAATGATAGTGGCTAAAACTGATCTTCCTAGGAAGGTCACTGCAAAAATACCATGCCCTTTTATGACTCTTCAATTATTTTTCTTAAAACTGTACAAAATCAAAAAAAATTTTAAGGAAGGCTGGAGTAGATCTTCCTGGGACCCTAGAGAGCTGTAACCAGTCACTGTAAGTTTGTATGTGCTGTTAAGCCACAACCAGCTCATAAGTGATCCCAGTAAGGAGTTTTCACTCCCCACCAGTCAGAGTAGGCTGCTTTAAGTTTAACTCAGTACAAGACTACTTCACTGACTCAGGGTCTTACATCTGTAATAACACCTGTTGTCCTCCTCCTCCTCAAAACCAATTTATGTTCTTGCCTCTTCTTCCAAACTATACTGTGCTAGCTCCCTAGATGATTAGACAGACAAGTGTACCATGGCATCAGGAGCTGTATATATGCTGACTGTACCTTAGAGCTGCTCTGCCTGATGTTTTGGTCTTGAGTTGAAGCACTCTTGTACAAAAGGACAAATGTATCTGTTGTATCCTGTTGAAACAGACTTTGCTCATAAAGTTATCCGGTGCCTGGTGTACTGGTGGCTTTTTAGGTGAGCTACTACTAACAGTAGCAGAGTTAAGTATGCTTGTGATTAAAGTCATGCAGCAACAGTTTTATCATGACAGTCCAAATGATGCTTATCAGGAGCAAATACAGTGCTAAGAAGATGGAAAACTGCCCCACGTGGCAAACTGTTTTTGTTTTATTTTTTTCCTTCAGCGACACGTGTTCACAGCCAAACACTAGAGGGCAGCATAACCTTAGCATGTCTAAGAATGACACACCAGAGTATTTCCTTGCTAATATTTACTCTGGGTTGTGTTCTGGTGACCAGACTTCAGAAGAATTTCAATAAGAACAATGTAAAGTAAATTATAAATTGTAAAAATGTTTTGGACAGTGAATCTGCAAAAGGTAGAATGGTGTTATGCATATACTTGGACATTTCATGTTGGTATTATGTATGGTGTTTGTTTGGAGGACATCATACTTGGAGTTCAGCATTGAGATAACAAGACCCCTGAGGAACAGGAATCTTGTTGGAAGTGTGTGTGTGGGCGGGGAGAAGATGGGCTATGATTGAGAAACAGGATTTAGTTCTGTAGCACAAGATTTCTTGAGGTATGAGCTTTTAAAGGTGAAAACTCACCACATCAGATACAGGTTTCCATTCATGCCCGTTTTCAAAAGGCTATCTGGTGTTTCTGTGTGGAAGCTGAATATATGTATTTGCTTCACAGTGGGGGATCTATCACACTCCACCTCCACCCCTTGATGGTCTTGCCCTGATGAGGTAGCACAGGAGCCCAGGGGCGCCTCCCGCTTTCGTCTTCTCTGACGGGAGGGCTTGAGACTACAGTTGGCTAGGTCTCAGAATAGCAGGTCCGGCTGTGGTGAGTCATCTCACTCAACCTGCTGGGCTCTGGAGCACTTTCTTTCTCTCTCCTGCTCTGCCCAGCAGTCTGGCCACTTCTTCCATAACCTGCCGTCTGCTTCCCCCTTTTATAGCCCTCCCCCTCATTTTTGCCTCCACCCCTCTACTGGCCCTCTGGCCCTGCCTCCCCATTTAAGCCCCCATCGCCTTCCTTTCTGTGAGCCCCACCCATCTGCACTGGCACTTGCTGTTTCAGGCCCTGCTGCATGTGTTGTGCCTTGCTCCCTTCTCAGATGGGGCCTCACCCTGCTGTGCATGCTGGTTGTGTCAGCCAGCCAGCCATTCTGTGGCCTGGTGGCCTTTGGCCTGCCCAGTGCAACTCCTGGCCACTTCAGCTTTCAGGGCCCTGGGCTGGATGATGGCACGGGGTGGGACCCAGGGCTCCTTGCATCTCTCCCCTGCTCTGTGGAGAACCCGGCCTGGCTGCGTTGGGGCCCTGGGAAATTGATGCAGTCACTGCGGGGCCTGGAGGGATTGTTGGGTTTGTGGTGGTGTCAGGGGTGTTGGAGTAAGGGCCAGCCATGCCTGTGGCTGGACAGGATCCAAAACAGTTTACATCATTCTCTTCTCCTTCATTTTATCCTTACAGCTCTATGAGGTGGGTTAGGCTAAGAATGTGCCCAAGGTCATCCAGCAGCTTCCATGGAAGAGTAGGGATTTGAACCTGGCTCTGTCAGATCCTTTCCCGACACTTCAACTGCTGTACCCCACTGGCTGTCATTTATATCATAATAGTAGCTAGCAGACCAATTCCTCCCACTTCCCCAACCCGCTGCTAGCATAATTGTTCAAAAAGGTCTTGTAGCATCCAGTAGCCTCCAACTTGATATGGTCACTTATGAAACACTTGGGGAATCCTCTTGCTCTAAAACACTGGTTTTAAGAATGGGATTTAAACACACCATTCCAGATCAATCTCGTGTACCTGGCAAGTTCCCAGAATGTTTACTAAGCAAAGCAGGTTGTAGGAGGAAGGCAGAGACGAAGCTACTGAAAGCAAGGACAAGATCAGCTGGGCAAGGGAAAGGGGGTGAAAGCCGTGGGGGCTGAAGAGGAAAGGGTCAGAAGGGAGGGGACAGAAAGTGCTCTGTAACTGCAGCAGACCTTTTAAAAATGGCATTTGGCCTAGAATGCAAAATGGAGCCTACGTTTTCAAACCTGAATTTGGAGGAAGAAGGCAGAGACGAAGCTGCTGAAAGCAAGGACAAGATCAGCTGGGCAAGGGAAAGGGGGTGAAAGCCGTGGGGGCTGAAGAGGAAACGGCCAGAAGGGAGGGGACAGAAAGTGCTCTGTAACTGCCTAGAATGCAAAATGGAGCCTACATTTTCAAATCTGAATTTGAAGGAAGTGAAATAAAGATTGCAGCTGTCATAATTGGGTATGTTATCTGCGAAGTTTTGCACTGTGAATTTTGTCTTAAGTGTGGAAGACTTTCATGCACGCAAATCTGGGGGTGGAGGACTAGTTGATACCTCATTTGCCTGGTGGGCACACTGGCTCAGTTCTCTTGTCACTCTCCTTTAAATGTTATTTGCTGCTGTGTTGGGAGAGGGATTGTGCAGGCAGGCAACATAGGATGAAGGGGTTTTTTTTATTCTGTGATGGAATCATTGCAGTCTCCATTTGAAAAACACAGCCATACGACTCTACAACTGTGTTTTAGAAATAGAATAGTTTTGTGGAAGAAATCCAGAAATGGGATGCTTGGAACTAAGGTCTATCAAACTTAGCGTGCAAGTAAATGTAGCTTAGAGTATAGTTTTTACAAGTGGAAAGCTAGACTAATCTTCCTTCAATTCCACCCACCCTTTCCCTTCCAGCTTTTTATATATATATATATAAGTAGAAACTGCACAGATCCTTCATTATAGTCCTTACAGTGAATAGGGTTTTTTTAAAATCCTGGGTGAAAATCCAAATAATTTTTCCTCCTGCCTTCTCGCCTAGACAAGCTTTCTGCCTAAACCCACATCCCTTTCCTTATTCTTCCAGCTGTCTCCCAGCCCCTCTCATCCTCAGCTCTTTTATTACTCTTCAGTGGTATGTACCAGAGCTAACAGACACAGCTAATCAGTGGGAATTTGTCCTTTTGATTAACGTGGCGCTTGCACAGCTTTGAAAATCAATAGGGAGTGCTTGTCTACTGATGACAAAATGAATCAAAGTAGTAGTTACCTAAATATGGCAAATGCATTTTAATAGACAAGAAATCGTTGGGTTGATTGATCTTTTTAATTTTATGGGTATATTTTTAGAGGAGAAGCACATGTTCTTACATGCTGCTATTAAGGGGCTGTTACTTCCTCCGCTGCATTGCTATCTCCTCTACACGCAGTAAAATTATGGCCAGGCTTTAAGCCTGTGTGCTTGCTTCCCTTGCCACACCATCCCAGTTGCCTCTTCCTAAGCCTGAATGATACTGGGGTTGTCAGATGCATATTCTGAATTTATCATGGAGTTTGCGCTTTAGGTACAGTGTGTTTAAGAATTTGTAAGCCACTGTTCAGAAAACAAGATGGGTAGCTGTTTAAGAATTTGTAAGCCACTGTTCAGAAACCAAGATGGGTAGCTGTGTCTATAGCAGCAGGAGAGAGCAAGAGTCCAGTGGCAACTTAAAAACTAACAAAATATTACGAAATACATCATGGTAAGCAACTGGCCCTGGTATTTTTGGATGCAGAGAAAGCGTTTGATGACAACGTTACTTGGCCATTTATTATAGAGACATTGAGAATGGTGGAAGCAGGTGAAAACTATTAAGATGATTCAAGCTATATATAATGAACAAAGAGCAAGAGTAATGGTGAATGGCGAATTGACAAATAATGTTAAGATTCAAAAGGGGGGACTAGACAAGGCTGCCCTTTATCACCTCTTATATTTATCCTAGCCTTAGAGGTATTAAACAATGTAATAAGAAGGGATAAAGAGATTATTGGACTAAAATTGAAAGGAAACAAATACAAATTATTAGCTTTTGCGGATGATATTGCATTTATTATGGAACAACCGATGGAAGTAGCCGTTAAACTAAAAGAAAGGATTCAAGAATATGGTCAAGTAGCGGGACTGAAAATAAATGTCAACAAAAAAACTAACAAAAATTGTGAAGCATATTGAGGGGGTGCAAGAATTTTGTTCATCTTTAAGGTGCTTGTTCTTTTCTGCTGTTCAGAAAACAGTTCTCAAAAATGGAGTATATTAGAATCGTAAAAGTGTATCCAGATATTTTTTTTGAAAATCCACAGTTCATCCAATAATACAGTAAACACAGCTGCAGAAAGGGGGGTTAGATCTTGAGTAAAGATACACTCCATGAGCTTCTGTGAGCTTTCTGCACCTTCCTCTACCTTTAGTAGGATGCAACAGTGGGGAGAAGGCGGCATTTTCACCCAGTTCCCCGCTCCCACTCACTGGATCTTCCCATTCTGCGATATATTTTGTGATACCTTAGAGAATTTTCTAGACTCACTGGAGAAGGAAAAGGGAGAGAAAACATCTGTTTCATCAACTGTTTCCACAAGCTGTTTTCCATCATTTGACCTAAGAAATACAGGCCAAATGCTATCCATTTTAATGATGGTTTGGGTGCTTATGACTTATAAGGGCACCTGCCAATATATTTTCATGATTCTATCATGGCATCACAGATAGTATTATTGAGTAGTTTGATTTCAATGATGTTTATATTGTTGCCCATCTTTAACAGTGTTTCGGAGAGCTGACTATAATACTTTTTTGGTTATTAAAATAGGGTTGTAGACTAATGTCAGCAATCCAACATGGATCCTAGTCTTCATTTCCTTTTATAGCCCCGTCCCCCCCTCCTTCAGTGCAGTGGAGTATGGTAACAGAGATCTTACTGGATGCGTGATTTGGCAGCCAGGCTCATTGTGAACTTTGTCTCCAT